CCCCAAGTATTTCCAAGAACCCCTTTTGGAGGCGTAGTAGGAATGCAAGGAGGGTGGCAACTGACAGACAAGTGCAAGGGATTTCTACCTTCAAAACTAGCTTGCAACCCCCAGGCATTGTCTAATGAGCTGCTAGCAAACTTTCACTTTTATGACTATTGAGACAAGATACATCTTCCTACTAGTCCGGTAGTCTCTTGTACATTGTCATTCAGTTCATTTTCACACAGCAAAAAGTGCTGATGTTACATTGTGATGAACATGTAAAGGTTATAATTAAACATTAAATTATCGACTACGAGTTTTCTTGTATATGTTTGTTCGATACTTGTCAAAAATGGAATTCTCTTGCTTTTTAAAACTGTAAAATATGTGACTTTAGGTAATTGTATTGAAATTATTCATAAATAATAAATAGAATTAAATTTCCTTGTATCAAAATCTAAGGTACCGTATTTACGCATGTATAGGCAGCACATTTTTTGCCAAAAATTCAAGAGGAAAACTGGGGTGCGGCTTATATTCGAAATATTCGAAATCACACTTCATTTAAAAAAAATATATACATAATTAGTATTACAGGGTGTTCTACTCCTGAAATAATATTCCAAGAAAATTATTTTTTCTATAATTTCTGTCTAAAAATTGTGCTGCGGCCTATACACTCACGCGGCCTACACATGCGTAAATATGGTATATTTCTATTTTGAAGTGCGGCCCTGGACTATTATTTATAGAGCTGAGGTGGCCCTCTCTACAAGTTGAGTTTGACATGCCTGCTCTAAATCAAAATTGAAAAGCAGTGGCAATAAAGCTTCTTGTTTCAGACCATTCTGGATAAGGAAATAATCAGACAAATGTTTACCTGTATGGACTTTATTGTAAGTTTCGTTTAAACACATTTTAATCAACCTAACTATTTTCAGGGGTACTTGAAACTCTATCAGAATATTGTACAATACTTCCCTCCTAACTGAATCATAGGCTTTCTTGAAGTCTATGAATAGCTGATGTACTGTCTCATTGTACTCCCATTTTTTCTCCAATATCTGACGAATGCAAAAGATCTGATCTGTAGTTGATCTGTTATGTCAAAATCCACACTAATGATCCCCAATAATTTCATCTATATATGGACTTAGCCTTGAAAGAAGAATGTTGGATAAAATTTTGTAGCAAGTTGATAGCAGTGATATCACCCGATAATTACTACAGGCAATTTTTCCTTAATCTAAATGGAAATAATTAGTTTATGGATCAAAACAAACAAACTCCATGAGTTTAGTCCGCAAGCGAAATATACCGACCGAGCGACCGCCGCTTGCTGGCGTAGTTAGTCGCAAATTTTTGCTGATGGGGGTGTCGCGTGGTTAGCAAAACAAATCCCCAATTTCGGTTTTCTAGACTGGAGCCGCTATTTCCTTGAAATAGCTCCTCAGTTATCATCATGAGGCTGAGTGGACCCCATTCCAGACCCACTACTAGTCAGAAAGAATCTTGAAGCGCCGCGAATCGAACCTGGATCTCTGGATCTGTGACCAGGAACTCTGACTACTAGACCACATAGAACTTAATATTTCACCTCCTGCTTGAATAAGTTCTGCCAGAATTTGATCACTACCTGGTGAATTATACCCTTTCAATTTTGCAGTAGCTACGTATGCATTTCAACCTCAAAAAGGCTAGGATCAAGTACTAACGGCTACACTGTATGTATTTCTATCTGCCTAACACCGCACATTAAATAACTGAGAGAAGTAGTTCTTCCACCTATTCAAAATGTTGTAGGAATCTGCAAGCAAATCACCTTTCTCATCCTTCACTAAGTAATTTCTAGGATGGTAACCCCTCTTAAAGTCAATTATTCTTCTACACAAGTCTCTAATGTTCTTGTTCTTACTTTTCGTTGCAAACTCATCAATTTTGTCTTTCAGATATTTCCTCTTTCTATTCATGAAATGCCTCCTGGTTTCAAAGCTTATATTGTTCAGATTATCCCTATGTATTTCGCTTGGATGTTGTAACCATTGTAACTTGTTTTCTTTGGTATAGTAATTTTGAGCATCCTTTATCGAACCATGGTGTATGCTTCTTCAGTTCATAATAACCTAGACTCTCTTGGACAGAAATTTTATACTCTCCCTAATAGTTTCCCAAGCTATATTAACATCCTTTATCGAACCATGGTGTATGCTTCTTCAGTTCATAATAACCTAGACTCTCTTGGACAGAAATTTTATACTCTCCCTAATAGTTTCCCAAGCTATATTAACATCCTTTATCGAACCATGGTGTATGCTTCTTCAGTTCATAATAACCTAGACTCTCTTGGACAGAAATTTTATACTCTCTCTGATAGTTTCCCAAGCTATATTAATATCCACTCAGTGTCTAAATTTTACAAAGCTGTGAACCTATTTGAGATTTCAATACGATACTGCTCCTTACCCTCTGCCTCTTTTAAATTCTTGAGAATGAACCTCTCCATATGAACTCTATGCGTTGCTTGCTCGCTCACTGCCAGTCTTTCCCTAACCTTTGTCACCACCAGGCAGTGGTCATAAAAAACATCTTGCTTTATTAGTTTGCACTCTTTCTTTGGTCTTGTGAGGTTCCAGGTTCAAATCTTGAACCAGCAACTGTTTATTCTGAGTTGTTTTTGGCTTTCCTTAGTCTTCTTGGGATCATAGTGGTATAGTATCTTGCAACATTTTACAATTCTTTCTTAACACTTCCTTCCAAAGTCCTCTTGCTGTTTAGTGGTATATACTTACTTACTCGTGGAGCTGAGCCCTTCTTGAGGAGCCGCCAATTCTGCAGCTACATAAGAATTTCCCAGCATTTTATGGAACCCGAATTTTCATCACCGTGTTCACAAGATCCCTCCACTGATCTCTATCCTGAGCCAGATTTATCCAATCCATACCATCCCATCCTATCTCTCTAAGATCCATTCTAATATTGTTCACCCACCTACGCCTTGGTCTTCCCTGTGGTCTCTTTCCTTCTGGCTTTCCCACCAATATTCTATATGTATTCCTCGTCTCCTCCATTCGTGCTACATGACCTGCCCACCTCATCCTCCTTGACTTGATCATTCTAATTATACTTGGAGAAGAGTACAAGTTATGATGCTCCTCATAATGCAGTTTTCTCCAACCCCTGTGATTTCATCTCTCTTTGTTTAGTGGTATATAACTAATGAAGCTTATAAAAGTGTGACAATATCCTTAGCTGTCAGTAAATAGGACTTAAATCAGTTGTTAATTTTCACCTATTCTAAAAATCTAGAGTGTTCTGCCAGAAAAGGGGGGCTAGGTAAATTCATTGATCTCTTCGGCGTCTGCCTCTTTGGCTTTGAGTTTGGAGTTCTCCTCGGACGCTTGGGGGATGCAGGAGGCGATAGGGGAAGGGTGAGCAAATTGTGGGATGGGGTCCATTAATGTTACACCACATTCCTATATTACTCTATTCATCTATATCCCTATATACACACAAACAAAGCCGACGTTTGTCGGGTTTACATTTCACGTAGATTGTTAATCACTTCTGTACGGACATAGTTATATTCTTCTCACCGGACTCTGGGTCTCCTATACCTCTCTCTCCCTGCTCTCCTCTCTCTGTCTCTCTCTCCCTTACACCATGCCACAGACCGTGCTTCAGTATTCTTAAGCCTGTTCTATATAGTCCTCACTCCCGCTCCCTGGGGTTTGCACTTTAATAATGTTACCCTCAATTTTCAGGGCTATAAGTAGTAGTTCCATTTACTTGTGGCAAGGATGCAGAAGAACGTCGCCATCCAGCACTCTCTCAGTGTCATCTCGACGATAGCCTTCGGCCACAACTCTACTGAAAATTATTGATCGACTCTCCCCTTTCTAGTTTCCTCTACTCTTTTTGTATCCTCTTTTTGCTAACTTTTCAACTTCCGGGAGGGTGTACTCCTACCTGCAATGATGTGATTTTGTTGGGGTGGTTAGCTGTCATTGGTTGCCTGCCGAAAGGGGGTTCGCGTTTTCTAGTCTGTCCGCCCCCCTCGACTCAGCATTCTTACCTCCAAGCGTCTTGCTTTCTGTGTAACACGCTTCTGCCCAGTCAGCATTGCTATGCTGACGCGGTATATTCATGCATTCCATTTCATATATCCTAACTGTATTTCAAAAATACTTGTTCCAGTCTGGCCCCAAACATATTAACCATAAAAATATATTAACATTAAAAACATAACACCTGCCGTAAACCTGAGGGCATAACATAGAGACATTTGTTTTCTCTTTTGAATATTTCATGTTCGATGAACATTACAATTTACAAGTACCTAGGCTGTAAGTCACAAATAATAACTCCTTCTTTATAAGTGGGGGGTATGTGGTAGTGTAGTTGGTTAAGACATTATGCTACAAGTGGGAAGGTCATGGGTTTGTTTCCCAATGAGTAGATTTTTCAGTTGACCCAATCCTTCCAACTGCATTATGGCCCCGGGATTGACTCCACCTCAAAACAGAAATGAGTACCAGGAGTCTTTCTGAAGGTAATGGGTGGCAGGCATTTAAGGCTGACAGTCTCACTGCCATCTATGAGCCAACTGTCTAGAAAATATTGTAGTCTCAACATCTCACAGCCCTATGAACCTCCATGGCATGTTACAGGGATAGACAACTTCTTTATTACAACCCTCACAACACAACTAGTATCAGGATCAGTGCCTAGTTTCGGCTCTGCTACATGTTTCGGCTCTTATGATATTAGTTGTGTTGTGGTGGTTGTAATAAAGAAGTTGTGTATTGTAACACAACAGGATGCAATTAAATGAAAATTATAGGGATAGCTGTACCTTTTTAGTTATGTGTCTTTCATCAGTTTATATGCTTTTAATAATTTCTGGCATAATCCTTTCTTACTGAGTTCTAGAGGAATATACTGTGAAACACACACCTATAAATTCATATACAGAGGTTTCTGAGAAGTAAAATGGAATATTATTCTTCTCCTGACAGGACAGCTTCATTATTGACAATGGTTCTAAAGGTATCTGGGTATGGATAGGCCGCAAAGCATCGTCAAAGGAGCGGGTGGAAGCAATGCGTAATGCTCAGGGGTATGTGACCAAGAAAGGATATCCAAGCAACACATTAGTCACACGAGTGGTAGATGGAGGAGAACCCATCGAGTTCAAGGCGTTGTTCAGCTCATGGAAGGAGCGCAACCAGACAACTGGCATGGGGAAACAAAGCACTGGTAAGATTTTCAAGCAATTCTTTGTATTACCAGGGTCACCTAACATTTGCCCATGAGCAAAAATGTGCCCGGTTGAGTGGTAAATAGCCAAAATGTGAAAGAAAATCATAGTGCTGGCTGATTTTTTGACAAATACTTATCTAGATGCTATGCAACTGAAACTTCCAGACGTGTATTTATTGTCAATAAATAACAATGCATGTTTATGATCTATATCCCAATTAAAATGCAGACATGATGTGTGAAATTTGTGTGCAGCATACAATTTGTAAACTCAGTCTACAGCCTATTTTCAGCATACTAGCAAAACAAATACAGAGTTCAATGTGTCATTAGTAGCTAGTAATTAAACGTTGTAAGTCAGTCAATTAATTATAAAATCCTCCTTGTTCTACAAGATAGAGTCAGTAAATAGGTCACAAATGTCTATAAGATGTAAAAGATATGATATTCGAACCTGGAAGAAACATGTATTTCTTGGCATATCCTCCACCAAAACTGATACATTTGTCTCATCAGTTTACCAGTGGACCAAAACTCGCAGCATAGAAGTGTTTTGACTGTTGTCTCAACCACTTCTGCACCTCCGTTTCAACATCTTCCTCATCAGTGAAACGTTTTCCAGTGTGGTTTTTTAGTGAACTAAAGATATGGAAGTCAGTAGGGACAAAGTCCAGGCTGTAAGGCGGATGTTCAAAAAGTTCCCACTGTCATTCTTCAATTCTGCCCTGGTTTGCGTGGGATGTATAGGGTCTGCCATTGTCTTGATGAAGCAGTACCCCTCTTGCTCGTTATTCTGGGTGTTTTCTAAGAATTGTATCCTGAATTTTCACCAGAACTTCACAGTACAGTTCAGAATACACACTTTCACAACGCTTCTGAAAATGTGCTAGAAATACTCACTGAGAATCCAATAACACGGAAAGCATACCCTCTCAATTGATGACATAACCTTAAACTTTGACTGAAGGTGAACTGGAATGTTTCCATTGCACTGAAGCACTTTTCAATTCAGGTTGGTGGTGATGCACCCATGATTCATCCCCAGTAACAACCGTGTTAAGCAGTGCTGTCCAACGTTCTTATGTACTCGGGGCACAATTCACTGATGTGATGCCTATGGAGGTGCGGGTGCCACCACACTACTACTACTACTAATAATAATAATAACAACAACAATAATAAAATAATTAGAAATTTAATACTGACTAAATCTTTTGTTAATATAATTATATTTACTTACAATCTTATGTAATTACTCGTAGTGTGAAATTTGACACTGCAGGTTAGCTGCAAGTTGTCAAAAATCTGGTGTGTAGCTGGAACAGGATGCTCTTAGTGCATCATCTAAGTGTGAGTCTGTTAGGCAGGATCGGTACTTATTTTTGATGATGCTCATAGATGAAAATGCGACTTCGCACAGATACGTCGAACCAAAACAAGAATAAATTTTCAGAGCAATGCTATGAATCATGGGATATTTATTCCTGTCCACCAGAGTCCAGAAATTGCTACAAGTTGCAAATGAGGATTTCAAAGATATGTCTTCTTGGAAATTTAAAATTTCCATTTCTTATTCTTCAAGATTATACTTTCCGAATATTTCACGCACCTCCCCTCCAAGTTCACTAACGTCAACAGTAGCGAAGGGATTACTGATAAACATTGTCACTGGTTCAAATGTTGAAAACTGGCTAAATCTATTACCAAATTCGGTCACAAGGGCTTCAAGATGCTGGGCAAAAGATGGAAGATTGTATTCACAACCATTTAAGGTTTCCACAACAGATTTCATATGCGGAAAATGTGAAAGGGAATTTCTGTTTAAATGTGCAATCAATAGCTTTAGTTTCTTTTGAAAAACATTAACTACACTTATCATGCTTGAAATGTTATGATCTTTCCCTTGTAATTCAAGATTTAACTCACTTAATTTTGAGGTGATATCTTTCAAGAAAGCTAAATCTAGTAGCCATGATATTTCATCAAGTTCTTGATAATATTGGCCAGGAGATGATTTCAGAAAGTCCCTGACCTCATCCAGAAGACAGAAAAATCGTTCCAGTGTTTTCCCCCTACTAAGCCACCTTATGTCTGCATGGAAAATTATGACACCATGCTCAGTGTCCGACACATTCAAAAGATTTCTGAACAATCGATGACGAGTAGAAGACGATCTGATATAACTTACCACACGAGTTACTACATTCATAACATGGTCGAACTTCAAAATCTTTGCGCATAAAGCTTCCTTGTGGATAATGCAGTGATAAGAAAGAACACAGAGAAATGATTCATCCTTAGCACAAACAGCAAGAAACCCATTGTTCCTACCAGTAATTGAAGGCATCCCATCTGTACTTATAGCAACAAGTTTTGAAAGTGGTAAGTTACATTCTTTCACAAATTTAAGGAACACATTAAATATGTCTTCTCCCCTAGTACGTTCTAGAAGTGGCAGCAGTTTAACGAACTCTTCCTTTACCGTAAAATCACCAAAAACCATTCTAACAAATACACATAATTGTGCAACATCTGATATATCAGTGCTTTCATCAAGCTGGAGTGAAAAATATTCACACGATTGCAAATCCTGATGTATTTGAGATTCCAGAGTATCAGAAATCTGTTCAACTCGTCTAGCAAACAGTTTGGTGATACAACTGAGGTCCTTTGATGGAAGACATAAGTGCAGATTTATTTTTGTGACCATCGAACAGAGACTCGCCGGCACTGATCATAGCTTATTTAGCTATTTCCCCATCAGTGAAAGGTTTTTTCCTTTTAGCTAGCACATGCCAGATTTTATAAGAAGCAATTGTTACGTTACTACTTTGCTAGATAGGCTTTGTAAATACACGTTGTTGCAAGGTTAATTTAGATTTTAGGTCTTTCACATTTTGTTTTCTTAGTTCAGATTTCACAGGAAATTCATTGTTGAAGTTTTTGTGGTTAGTCAAAAAATGTCGCTCTACATAACTTTTTTAGGAATAGACAGGCTACCATTACACAATAAACACACAGGTTTTCCTCTGTATTCAATAAAACAATACTGTTCCTCCCATTCGCTGTTAAAACTACAACTTCTTTGTCTTTTAGCCATATCAAGAATAGCTATATAAAATAGTACTGCTTATTTGCTCAGCAATTTGAAGCACGATAGCTAAAATACACTGACAACTGTGTAACTAGTTGAATGTACTACTTGTTACAACACAAGACACATAACAACTGAACTATGGTTGTCACAAACTTGCAAGTAATACTGAACGTTTCGCTGAAGAAAGTGAAATTGGAAATATAGCTACTACGAAGTTCCATTAGTGTAAGACCCTCTTAATAACTTCTTATTGTTTGCGGCATCACTTTTGTTGGGATTGAAGTAACTTTGATTCATATTGCCGATTAGTTTAGAAATTGGGGAAACTGCGGTAAGATGGGCCCCATAGTCATGTTCTTATTGTTTGAGGCATCGCTTTGTTGGGATTAGAGTAACTTTGATTCATATTGCCGATGAGTTTAGAAATTGGGGAAATTACCGTAAGCTGGGCCCATAGTCATGTTGGTGTCGGTGAATATGTTTGCCCTGCCGATCACAGAAAATTTTATGGTACCCTGACCATAAAGCTGAAATCCATGTAAGCCGATTCAGTGGGGACTTGTGGCTGTTTGAGGGGGGTAAAAATACCGCTAGGGAAAATTACCTGATCTTGAGAGGACGATGGTTTCTCTAGTGAAAAAAGAATTGAGACTGGTGTTGTTAGCAAGGGAGAAAAGAAATAGGCATATATTTTCAAGGAATGTTTAATACTGTACCTGCTTCAAGGAAATTTTGTGAAAATATTTAACAGTACTCAGACGTTCAAAAATGTCTCGTCTTAAATTTGAATTAATATTAAAAATCTGGTCAATTATATGCGCCTACGGAGGGCGCCAGAAAAATATATCATGGGTGCCACATTGGACAGGGCTGCTGTTAAGCATATCTAGTCCTTCATCTGCATACCATAAGAGATGTTGCAAGGACAGACCCATTCAATTCATTTTTTCTTGAACCTTCAATTCTCTGTGCATCCACCGTGTGAACACTTCCTGAAACTTCAAATGATCACGCATTATTCTGTGTGTTAAACCATGGGAACATATTAAATGTAGTTGCTATATTGTGTACTGTTATCCTCCCAACTTCAAATCAGCTCTTACACCTGCTGCACAGTTGCTTCTATTGCAGTCTCAAAAGGACGACTTGGTCGGTCATCATCTATAACCCTCATATGTCCTTGAGAGAATTTCTCTACCCAGTGATGAACCACATCATGCATCAAACATTTCCCACCATAAACAGGAAACATTTATTTATGAATATCTTTTGCATTGAGTCCTTTTGCCTACAAAAACGCACAACAAAACGCTGCTCTTCGGTAGAACACTCCACAAGCACAGTTGCCATTTCGACTACAGAAACCAGCTTCTGAACATTTGTATGCGTGTCTGCTACATAGACTGTCATGAAGCTGGACTGTGCTGCTACCTAGTGTTACACATAGAAAACCTATTGCATCTGTTAAGCTGTTTTACTTCCACTTGTGACTTATTTACTGACTCTCCTTTGTAATAAACTTATAATTCCGTTTGATTACTTTACCAGCTTCCTCCCTTTAATTCTGTCAACGGTCATGTTATGAATCAGGACACGCAGTATTGTAGTTGGTTGAGGCACTATGCCACAAGCCGGAAGGTCACAGGTTTGAATACCGATGAGGTCATTGGATTTTTCCAATTGACCTAATCCTTCTAGCCACATTATGGCCCTGTGGTCGACTCAGACTTTAACATAAATGAGTACCAGGAATCTTCCTGGTGGTAAAGTATGGCCAGCCCATAAGGCTGACAACCTTACCACTGTCTGTGAGCCAATTGCCTAGAAAATGTGGGAACGTCAACATCTCACAACCCTATGGGCATTCATAGCTTGTTACAGGGATAGCTTTGACTTTTTTGCATGTTATAAATGTAAATGTGTGTGTTGTTGTTGTTAACGTGTCTTTTAAGAATCCTGCATCAACTGGACAGGTTATGTAGAGATACATGAGATAAAAATTGATTATGAATGGTCAACTGGAAACAAATTTGGAAAAAGAAGTGATAACTTATTTCTAAGAATTATGTTTTATTTGCATGGAACAAACAGTGAAAACTGGGAAAAATCATATAATTCCTGTTGCCTCTGTTGGTATTCTAACCAAGTAACTTCCATATACAAGTCGATATGTTAAAACTGAGACAGATGTCTCAGTATGATTTATTCCACATGTAAGTCAAGTCATGTACATAGCTGGACATCTTTAAAAACTAGAAGTTAATTCTGTGCAACATGAGGCACCTCTGCTGTTTCATAGTAATTTCATTCTGCTCATCTGTGCATAATGAAAAGCACACTGTATAGGAAAATCTGATGAATGACTAAAATTATATTAAAATTCATGTTATTTTGGATTCCCATTTCATGCTGAGAAAAGTATTAATTTGAATACACAAAATTATAACACCTTCTTTTATAGAAGTGAAACTTGAAAGAACACAACTTGAATGTTTTTGAGAACATTTTAATCAGAAGTGTGATGAATGTGGTGCTCGGTAGAGTATTTGTACATAAGATAATGATAAAATAAGTAAGAAGGATAGATAAAAATGCTCACTGAAGAACTTCATAATTTGTTGTATTCACCAAATAGAATTTTGGTGATCAATTAATGGAGGATCATATGGGCTGGGCAGGGCTGTCATGGGAGAGATGAGACATGAACAAAGTATTGTAGTAAAAAAAGCTAAAGGGAAGAGACCACTCTGAAACCTCTGCATAGGTTGGAAGATAATGTAAATATGCTTCTTAGAGAAATAAGGTGTGACTATGTGAACTGCATACATTCAGCTTAGAATAGCACTTGAAAAGTTGTCTCTTGATGAAGAATTTTTCAAAATCCATTCCCCTTTATCCATAAAATTAGGCATTTTGTGTAACTTACATATTGTGTGTTTTTATAAAATGAGGCAAAATTAAAGCAGTGCTTGGTGTTTGTTACCCCAAAGCATTTTGATGGCTTTTCAGTGGGCAAGATCGCTACCACTGTCAACAACAAGTTCGACGCTTCCACCCTGCATGAAAAACCAAAGCTTGCAGCTGAATCACAGCTTGTAGATGATGGAACTGGAGAACTCACTGTATATCGTGTTGAAAAGTTCCAGCTGGTCCCTGTGCCTGACAAACTACAGGGTGTGTTCTTCTCTGGTGACTGTTATGTTGTGAAGTACACATACCTGACTGGAGGCACTGAGAAATACCTCATCTACTACTGGCTGGTGGGTTATCTTATATTACTGAGGTTGAAAATCAGACATGTCTCAATGAAACAAATATTAGTAGCATGGTGAATTTCAGGGTTCAAAACAATTACTCTGACCTCTCATAGTATCAATAGATGTATTTCTGTCAGCATACATATTCAACATGTGAAGTTACACTGATTTATAAGTTGATATTATCAAGCTAAAATATGTCATGTAGTTGCCATGGTGATCGTTTCCATTTTCATAAAATATTACTATAATAAGAACTGCATCCCTTTAATGAACTATCACCATGCAAAAATTCAACACCCCACATTGAATTCCACTAGTGTTGTTATAGGCTCACAAGTTCACAAATACTTCCTTTCATATTTTTCATTATACATTAATAAAAACACAAAGGTTCATAGCAATGTGAAACACAGTTTCACTTTTATATGCTATAATAATATTTTGTTGGTCATTTCCCATTTTATGAGGTATATTTAGTATAAATGATGTTTCACTTATTGGCTCCCCTTCTGAAACATACTGTATAACAAATACATCTCAATCAAAAATATTCAACATTACACAGAATGTCTGGTAGTTCAGTAGTTCAGTGTCTTTATCCCAAGGGCGTTTCCAATGAGAAATGCCACATGAATGTGGGTCAAATTGCAAATGTTTATGGGGCTATGGACATATCCTGTTGCACTTTCAATGTGTGTGTGAATGAGCAGGCCTGAACATGCTCAGTTGGAAGTCTGCTCACTAGTAGATCTCTAGGTAGCACAGAGTGCAATCAAGTTTTGTGTATTATATCAGAAAGTTACTTCATTAGTGAACATGAAGAAAACACAAATATGCACTTTGTTTATGATTGTTGAAACTGTAGTGGGAATGCTTCAACTGCAAAATACAGGTAATATTTACAGTAATGAAGAATTCCATATTGATATGTGTTTTATACAATTCATTGACAGTTACGTGCAAATGGCACATTTCTGAGGGTGTCCTAGCCTGCTAAATGTTCAATGAAACAGAATGCTGAAGATGAAGAAAAATTATTCAAGGGGCACAGTGTTAATATTCAAAGAATTTCTGCCTGTCCCCATGTTCTATGTATGAAGGTCTGACAAACATTACACATTGAAGGACTAACTGTATCTATGTCATAACCAGCAAACTCAGTATCTTGAATCTTGGGACACAGATAGGCAGTTGGAATTCTGCCATTGGTTTGGTGAACAACCCAACCTGCATTGCTACATTTCATTCACTAATGCTGCTTAAATTACCTGTGATAAGATCTACAGTACCAGAAATTTCCATTTCTGGGCTTATGAAAAGCCACTACAAACAGTAGTAAGTAATTTCAAGCATTATTTTTCTGTAAATATGTGGTTTGTTATCATTGGTGAGACTTCACTGAATATTATGTCATATAGGAATATCTAAGAGGTGTTAATTCTTACAAAAGGGACATTGACTCAAATATACGGTTAGTCGCAGATGACTGCATAATAGCAAACATTCTCCATTCTAGCAAAAGCTTTCGATTGTGTTAATCATGATATCTTACTATCGAAATTAAATTTCTATGTAATAACTGGCAAAGCTAATGAATGGATCAAATCATACCTCAAAAACAGGTATCAAAGAGTTGAAATAAATAATAAAAACTCCAGTCATAATGCATTTTCAAACTGGGGAATTATAAAGCACGGTGTTCTACAAGGATAAATTTTAGGTCCCTTACTTTTTCTTCTCTACATAAATGATCTATCTAAAACCATCAACAATAAATCTAAACCAATTCTATATGCAGATGACACTAGTATAATATTTAAGAACTCTAAATTTGACAACTTTAAAAATGACATAAATATTGTATTTGAAGCCTTAAACAGATGGTTCGAAGCCAATTTACTCTCATTAAATTTTGATAAAACCCATTACATATCATTCACAACTAAAAACAACCACCAAATTGATCTGGACATCAGTTATGCCAACAAATTAATCTGTAAAGTACTTGATACAAAATTCCTTGGAATACATGTAGACAGTACACTGTCTTGGAAAATACATATTGAACAAATGATACCTAAATTAAATGCAGCTTGCTATGCGATGAGATCAATTAAGCCTTTTATGTCACAGGAAACATTGAGATGGTTTACCATGCCTACTTTTCATTCTATTATGAACTATGGATTAATATTTTGGGGGAACTCTTCACATAGTGTAATAATTTTTAAAATACAAAAGAATATAATTAGAATCATTACAGGATGTAGAAGTAGAGATTCATGTAGAGAATTATTTAAGAAATTAAAAATTCTACCTCTTCAATCGCAATACATATTATCGCTTCTCTTATTTGTTGTTTACAACAAAGATAAATTCAAATTAAATTCTGATGTCTATAACATGAATACTAGACAAAAATATAACTTCCACCTACCCTCATCAACTTTATCAGTATATCAAAAAGGAGTCTACTTTACTGGCATAAAAGTGTTCAACAATCTGCCACAAAGTATTAAAAACTTGGGCAATGATACTAAAAAGTTTAAATCAGAGTTAAAGAATTATCTACATGCTCATTCCTTCTACTCTTTAGATGAATACTTCAATGTAAATAGAGAATGATGTAAAATTAAGTTATATTAATTTTTAAGCTAAAATTGCCTGTACTTATGTATGTAACCTTTTGACTTGTTCTGTATCCAAAGGTACTAACCTGCTTAGGATTTATAGAATGTAAATAAATTCAATTCAATTCAATTCAATTATACAGGAAAATACTGGATAGTAGTGACATGGGCAAGTTGCAGACGGATCTAAATAAATTAGGGGAATGGGCAGTAGTAAACGAAATGAAGATAAATCCAGATAAAAGTAAAGTGGTAAGTTTCACGAGAGCTAGGGTGAAGGATCGTCTGACGTATTATTTTGGGGACCAACTAATTCCAGAGGTAAATAGCTTTAAGTACCTAGGAATAATCATACGGTGTGATCTAAGATGGACAGATCATGTAAATTATACCCTACAAAAAGCATGGAAGGCTCTTCATTTAATAATGTGTATATTGAAACAGGGCAATAATAACACGAAACGTCTAGCCTATGTGTCACTAGTGAGACCAATACTTGAATGTGGTTCGGTATGTTGGGACCCATACAGAGAATGGCAGGTCAGCACTTTAAATCGGGTACAAAGAAGAGCGTCTAAATTTGCCAGTCCTACAGATGACTCTGGCTGGGAAACTCTGGCACAGCGTAGACTGATAGCCCATCTGTGCACCCTCTACAAGGCGTACACCAGGAGACCGGCTTGGAAAGTGATAGAGGATAGCCTGCTTAAACCATGCTACCTGAATAGGGATGATCATATTTTTAAAGTTAGAAGCAGGAAACAAAGAACTGATGTTGGCAAATATTCCTTTGTAAATAGGACCATAAAGGATTGGAACAGTTTACCTGCAGGCAAACTAGCGTAAACTCAACACTTTTAGAAAGAGGGTTAGGAAAACTGTTGCTAGTACAGAAGCCTTAGGCGCAGTTTGAATGGAAGCAAGTGAAGTAATGTGAAGTGTCCTTGTTCGAGTGCAATGTTTGGATTTGCACTGTGTGTACCTTGTTTTCTGTATTATATTTCGTTTTGTATTTTTCCCTTATGTTATAGACTCTACTTGTCTGTATCAGTGCAAGTTCTACTACCACTGGGTGAACACCCAATTGTGGCAAATAATAATAATAATAAAAATTATGTGCCACCATTCTTAGAGATGCAGACATGACCACAGATATGCTTCTAGCATAATAGGTTGTACGCACGTCCGTAGATATGTGATGCAGTAGGCAAGTGATGCAATGCCAAAATGAGCAGTGCCCTTACCAATGGGTGGACCATGGTGGTCCTCAGAATTGGAAACTGCATCACTGGAGCTCACTCCGTTAGATTTTCATACATGGAATTCTGTGAAAACATGGCATAGGAATGTGAAGTAAACAGAAGATAGGAACTACTTCATCAAATTTTTCATGCTGCAAGACATATGAATGACATTTATGCTCTACATAACATTATGCATTCCATGGTAGCATCAGAATGGGCATCCATACCGAAAGTGATCATTTTGAACATTTGTTGAACCGAATTATATAGCAATCATTTTTGCTACATCTGTTCAAATTATCATAAATTTCAAATATCCATAGCTCTGTAACTGGTGAGAAATGGACCCATGTTCATATGACATTTTGGCTGGGTATGGCATCAGGAGTAAGATTATGAAATACTGACATACCATCACTGTATACCCATACTAGAACAATGAGTGAAACGTTAAATGGATCCCCATCACTGAGGCATGGTGCGTCTTCAAACTATGGATGAAGGAGATTTAGAGGGCAGCTGTGAATATGTTGAATAAGGAGTCATAGGGCCACTTGCAGATCCCTTATTTCCAGGTTATTTCAGAAGTTATTCTAAGAAATCAAAATGATGAATAAACACTGTGTTGTTTCTAGGGCCAACACTCATCTCAAGATGAGCAGGGTACTGCTGCACTCAAGACAGTAGAACTGGATGATGAGCTGGGTGGTGCAGCAGTTCAAGTGCGGGTGGTACAGGGCAAGGAGCCAGCACACTTTCTTAATATCTTCAAAGGCAAGATGATTATTCTGCATGGTGGCAAGGCATCTTCATTCGATGGTAATTTCATCACTTACCATCAATATAACCATATAACCATCAGCGTTACTACATATGAGTATAATTGTCATGAATTCTGAATTGATGACATTCAGATGGAAGTTAAGAGAGGCCAGAGTGAGATCCCCTAAAGTGAAAATGAAACATAGAGTCCCATGACAAAATATCTGTAACTTAAAAAATTGTTAGAGAGCTAATAATTATTTGCACAGACTGACCCCACTTTATGTATAAGACAAAGGGCATATAAATGACAGTACTGATAATTTAGTGACTCATGATATCCTAAACTCTGTTTAATGTTTTCGCAGTGTTACAACATACATTATACTGCCTCTGAAATGAGCACCATTTGATTTTATCATACACAGTTCAAGTATCATGAATATAAATACTGAAGTAATATGACCACTGGTCTCCCAAAAAATTGTATTTTGTTCAAAATATTGATTTACAAGGTGGTATCTGAAAGTTCCTGGACTGTTATTGTTGTAACTGCATTGGTGAAAGAAGATGAGAGGGGAGCCAAAGTCACACTTCTGATAGCCTACTGCATCAGGTTGCCACATGACACTGCGCTGTGAACACACATTGTTTTTACATGAGTGCTTTTTCTGCTTCTTGCTTCATTTTGGCTCCCATGGATGTCAAAATCAAGCAGTGTCTGTGTCAAGTTTTGCGTGAATCTTGGTAAATCCGCTACTGAAACCCTTGAAATGCTTCGTGAAGCTTTTGGGGAACCCTCTTTAATCCAGACAGCATTTTCTGAATGGTATTCATGTTTCATGGTTGGTTGAATGTCAGTTGAAGATGACAAAGGTTCAGGGAGATCAAGCACCAGCAAAATTATGGCAAATGGTGAAAAAATATGAAACCTCACCCACGAAGACCATCACCAAACAATCCATGAACGCGCAGACACCACTGGGATCAGTTATGGATTTTGGCAGGAGATCTTAACAGAAAGTTTGAACATGCACCACTTATTCATCACAACAATGCGCCTGCTCACACGTCCCTTAAAACCACAGATGACTAACAAAAACATGGTTATCGTTCCCCAGCCTCCCTTCTCACAGGACTTAGCCCTCCTGTGATTTCGCTTTGTTTGACAAATTGAAAATGAAACTGAAGGGATGACGTTTTTAAATGATGTCTGATGTCCAAAGGAAATCACAACTGATACTAGACAGCATTAAGGAAAATGACTTCCATGGTGCTTTTGAAGCTCAGAATAAATAATGGAATCACTGTATACGTTCCCAAGGAGACTATTTTGAAGGAGATAGCAGCCAAAATTTAGTAAGTTAAGCAGCTTTTCTCTTTTGACCTAGTCCGGGAACTTTCTGACAGCATCTCGTATATTAGTGTAATGTTTATAATTACATTTGTTTTGCCATATTATGTATGAGGAACTAACACTTTATAAAGATCATATTATTAGCATCTGAAAACTGCCATAAGCCATATCATATCCACTACTGAGATAGGAAGAATGAAGAAAACAGTATGTAACTACAAACAATTAATTATCAATAAATTGAAAAGGTAAAAGGAAACTCAAATTACGCTGTAAACAACCACTACCACAAGAAGTAACTTGTAAAAGTCCAAAGGTTTTGCAGTGCAATGAACAAGAATCTATCAAGAAAGCAGTCTTCTGGGATGTGTCACCATGTAGATGTGGTGTTAACCGAAGTTTCGGAGGAACGCATTGCCTCCATCTTCAGGGTAGAAGGAAAAATAAGAAAATCTGCAAGCGAAGAGACTGTGAGAACAGGTACAAGCAGACTGGTGTTGGAAATAAACACAGCTATGTGAGAGTAGTGAAGGAAGGAGGTGGGGGGAAAGTCTACATGGGAAATCAGTGGAGTGGGAGGGGTGAAGGGGCTGGGACAGAAGCAGGGTTTTGTATATGATATTGTGTCGGGGGAGAGAAAGGCAAGGTTAAAGAGAGGGCACTAAGCCTTAAGCTGGGAGAGTTGCTATGTTAGTGGGTCATGGCCCGTGTAGCCTTGTGGATCTGGCATTATGTCCCAGAGTGTTATTTAGGGAACAGATGAGAGGCTTCCATGACTTGCTGAGACAAAGCCCACCCCCTCTCTGTTCATATTTTCAGGATGGAGTTCAATCTCGATGGCTTCCCTAATGATGTGATCCATATATTGGGTCTTGGTGGCGAGAATGGAGGTATTCTGAAGCTGAATGCGGTGTCCCAAATTGAGGCTGTGTTCAGCTACAGCTGACGTCTCCAGATGTTCGAGATGGATGTGCCACTGATGCTCCTTCAACCTCATGTCCACAGAATGGCTTGTCTGCCCAATATAGACCTTGCTGCACTCGCATGGGATACTGTATACACCTGGTGTCCTTAGTCCCAGGCTATCTTTGACTGGCTGGAGGAAACTGGATAATTTGTTTGGAGGCACACCCACTGGTTTGATGTTGTGCCGGGACAGCACTCTACTGATACGGTTGAAAATAGTCCCGACATAGGGAAGGAAGGTGACTGAGCCCAGTTTATCTTCAGGCCGGCTGATGTTGGGCCGACGGTTGAGAACTCTGTGGATCTGCCAGTTGTTGTATCCGTTCTTCCTCTCTGCAACTCTCTACCAACTCTGCATGCAGGCTGTCTTGATCACAAAGAGCTCTAGCCCTGTACACCAATGTGGAAAGTGCAGCTTGCTTGTTGGAAGGGTGGTGGTGGGATGCAGCTTTAAGATAGAGGTTGGTACGGGTGGATTTGTGATACACTCTATGGCCCAGAGAACCATCAGGTCTCCTGCAAATATCTATATCCAGGAAGGGGAGGTGGCCCTCAGTTTCAGTCTCCATTGTGAACTGAATGCAATGGTAGATACTGTTTAGGTGGCTGAGGAAGTCCTTAAGCTTGTCGGGCCCGTGTGGCCAGATGACGAAGGTGTCATCTAGATAGCGAAACCAGCAGCGGGGCTTGTGTGGGGCAAAGTCAACTGCCCTCTCCTAGAAGTCCTCCATCTATATGTTAGAGACGACCAGAGAAAGTGGCGAGCCCATCACCACACCATCAGTTTGTTCATAAAACTGACCATTGAAGTTGAAGTATGAGGTGGTCAGGAGATGGCGAAGAGTCTCAAGATGTCTTCTTCGAAATGTCATCCTAGCAGAACCATCATATCCGTTATAGGCACCCTGGTGAAGAGTGACATGAGGTTGAAAGGTTGAAGGAGCATCATTGGCACGTCCGTCTCGAACATCTGGAGACGTCAGCTGTAGCTGAACACAGCCTCAATTTGGGACACCGCATTCAGCTTCAGAATACCTCCATTCTCGCCACCAAGACCCAATATATGGATCACATCATTAGGGAAGCCATCGAGATTGAACTCCATCCTGAAAATATGAACAGAGAGGGGGTGGGCTTTGTCTCAGCAAGTCATGGAAGCCTCTCATCTGTTCCCTAAATAACACTCTGGGACATAATGCCAGATCCACAAGGCTACACGGGCCATGACCCACTAACATAGCAACCCTCCCAGCTTAAGGCTTAGTGCCCTCTCTTTAACCTTGCCTTTCTCTCCCCCGACACAATATCATATACAGGGTCTGGCAAATCGACCTCCCATATTTCAAAAGGCAGTTACAAACAAACAAAGAAAGATACAGAAAAAATACTTTTATTTGTGAACAACAAATACGATGCTATTTTACATTACTTGGTTTTAAAAATTATTTCCGGTAAATGGCGTCCTCCATTGTTCACACATTGACGAAGCCTTTCCCGGAAGTTGTCCATAGTTCTTCGTGTCATTTCAGGTGGAATGGCAGCCACTGCCTGGGTGATTGCCTCCTTAAGTGCTTGCAGGGTTGTGGGGCGATGTTTGTACACTTGCGCCTTTAAGTGTCCCCAAAGAAAAAAATCACAAGGTGATAAATCGGGTGACCTTGGGGGCCAGGCGATGTCTCCTCGCAAAGAGAGAAGACGTCCAGGAAACAACTCTCTCAGAATTGCTAAAGAACGCCGCGAAGTGTGAGCTGTGGCTCCGTCTTGTTGGAACCAGGCTTGTCCCTCTTCATGGTCCCCAACAAACTGGTTTAACTTAGGTCGGAGGAAGGTCTCGATCATGTGACAGTAGCGATTCGAAGTAACCGTTACCGTTAGCCCATTTTCCTCGAAAAAATAAGGACCCCACACACCAAATTCAGCAACGGCGCACCAAACTGTCACACGAGGGCTGTGAAGTGGTCGTTGGTGAAGTTCCTGAGGGTTTTCTGCTGACCAGTAGCGGAAATTTTGTTTATTTACAGTACCTGACAAGTGGAAGTGGGCCTCATCAGATGAAATCAAAACAGCGCCAGAGGGAATGTTCTGAAGAATGTCCTCACACGCAGCTTTGCGAGTTTCAAAATCTCTCTCACTTAATTCTTGGGTAACCATCATTTTGTATGGGTGCATGTGTAGATTTCTGTGCAGGATTCTTCTTACACTCCTATCAGACAATCCCAGGGCAGCTGCATGTTTAAGTGTTGAACGCTTTTGAGATTGCTGGATGGACGCTCTCACACGCGCAACATTTTCCGACGTTGTTACGGTCCGAGGTCGGCCAGGCGATTTCTTTTTCAGTGCAGAACCTGTTGCTCTAAAGTTTGATACCCAAACGTGAATAGTTTTTCTATCCGGAACAGGATCATGTCGGCCAAGTTCGAACCGAATGCGAAATGCTCGCTGAGTAGTAATCACCGATTCACCATTACGAATATACTCTTCCACAACAAACGCACGATGCTCACCATGCCACGCCATTGTGACTACTGCAAATGGCACTTATACCTCTATCCATCGATACCCCCTCCGCCGCCGTATCCCCACCACAACTCACACAGCGCCCTCTCCAAATACGGGAGGTCGATTTGCCGGACCCTGTACAAAACCCTGCTTCTGTCCCAGCCCCTTCTCCCCTCCCACCACTGATTTCCCATGTAGACTTTCCCCCCACCTCCTTCCTTCACTACTCTCACATAGCTGTGTTTATTTCCAACACCAGTCTGCTTGTACCTGTTCTCACAGTCTCCTCGCTTGCAGATTTTCTTATTTTTCCTTCTACCCTGAAGATGGAGGCGATGCGTTCCTCCGAAACGGCGGTTAACATCACATCTATACGGTGCCACATCCCAGAAGACTGCTTTCTTCATAGTCACTGCCGTGAAAACCTCAAATCTTACAAGAATGTATCAAATTCACAGTGCCTTGGGGGGGAGGGGACTTCTGACTTCTGTACGAGTATATCTCAGTCCAAAATGTAATAATTTGTTGGGGATCTTTACAGGCCGCATTTCCATGGTAGAGGGAATCAGAATGAAGTTCCAGACTCTACTGCTAGTAGAGCGGGTTACAAGCAGGATCTCCCTGCCATATTCTGAATTATAGGCTTTCATGATAACTGATTTTGCATTTTGCTGGAAACATGCTTAGATGTCATAAAAGAGGTTATAAGTTCTCAGTCTATTATCACAATTTCCTTAAGTCTTGTAGCAAATAATTAAATGTTTAACTAAATACCTATGAAATTCATATAGTTTTGAAGTTCTCATGGCAGTGAATCTTATGACTAATACTGCACCTTTCTAAGGCGTGATTTCATGTGGTTTGATAGACAGGCATTAATGTTCTGGAAGAACATGTCTACCAGACTACACAGCGTCATATCCCAGAAGACTGCAATTTTACCTGTGTAATTCCTTGGTACAGATGTTCTCAATACAGTTGATAGGTGGTAAAAAGTAAAGGTAAAGCTTTTCCTGTACTAAAGACCGCACCATAACTCAAGCCGTTAGTTGCTGGCTTCCCACTATGGGGGCCCGGGTTCGATCCCGGGTCTGGTCAAGTGGGATTTTGGTTGACAAAGTGGCCCTGGGGCGGGTTTTCTCTGAGTACTTCAGTTTCCCCTGCTAATCTTCACTCCACCAAATCCTCCATCATCATAATCGGCCGGGGTAGGCTACAATAGGCCAATCAGTGGCCGCCATGCCGAGTGGACCCAGTTGGACTTCGCCCCCCACTATGTGAAATTCCTGTACTAAACCACCACACATTGGAGACATGGAAATCGAGATCCACACATTCTAAACGTCCACATTAGATAAAGATGAATTGAATATTTCATGCTTCATCCCCTCCCCACAGTGTCACATCCCAGAACACCATAATTTTAATACTCACCACCATGAAAAATGCAAATCTTGTGTGTAAGAAAATGAAGATTTGCCATTACATAATTTACTACATTCCAGTCAGTTTATCTTCCTTAAGTATTTATATTCTCCTCAGCACTTCATCTTCGAACTTCCTCAGTCTCTTTCTCTGAAAGTGAGAGCCCATGTTTCACAACTATATGAAACAATGAGTATACTACACACCCAAATTTTAGTTATATTTAATGAGGACAGGGAATTTTGAAGTGAATGATAGCATGCATTTCTGAATTTATTAATTTCGTTATTTTATGTCATTTCTTGGTATAAATAGAATTTAGGAAACAAAGATACTCAAGGAATACCCATATACAAGGTGTGTCCCAAAAGTCATGAAATATATATATATATATTTTAAATTTATTGATGATATTGGTACAAAGTGTTAATATTCTTCAAAGTACTGTCCACGAGCATCTACACATTTTTTTCACCGACTCTCCCATGCCCGGTACCCCCCCTCAAAGGCCTCGAGGGGAACCTCATTTAAAGCTGTTTTCACGGCCGCTTGGATAGCCTGAATGCTTTCAAAACGGCGTCCTTTGAGTGCAGTCTGATCCTCGGGAACAAAAAGAAGTCGGCCGGAGCTAGGTCGGGGCTGTAGGGTGGCTGCGCCAGCGTTGCCACGTGGTGCTTCGCCAGGAACCCACGAACGAGCAGAGACGTGTGGCTGGGTGAATTGTCATGATGCAGCCGCCAGTTAGCGGCGATGTCTTTTCGCACGCGGATGACCCTTTTCCTTAATCTTTCTAGAACATCCACGTAGTAGGGAGCGTTGACGGTCTGTCCTTGGGGTAAAAACTCTTTGTGGACCACACTCTTGGCGTCGAAAAGACGATGAGCATTGTTTTCACTTTGGATTTGCTCATCTTCGCCTTCTTCGGTTTCGGGGAAGCCGAGGCATGCCATTCAGCACTCTGGTGCTTCGTTTCTGGGTCGTACTCAAATGTCCACGTTTCATCACCGGTAATAACACAGTCTAAATAATGAGGTTCAATTTCCACACGTTCCTTCAATTCACTCGTGATCAACACTCGATTGGCCTTTTGCTCGTCCGTCAACAATTTGGGGACCAGCTTGGCGCACACCTTTCACATGTTCAATTTGTCCATAACGATGCGATGCGCAACGGTTTTTGGAATGTTTAGAGTGTTGGCTAACAACCGGACAGTCATTTGACGGTCAGTATTCAACAAATCACGCACACGAGTCACATTTTCATCGGTTTGGCTTGTTGATGGCCGTCCAGAGCAGGGATCATCTTCCACTCCTTCCTGGCCCTCCTTAAACTTCTTCACCCACCTTGTAACTTGCGCATATGATAGAGCAGACTCCTCGTAGGCTTGCTTAAGCCGTTCGTGAGTTTCGGCAGCTTTTTTTGTTGAGCTTTGTGCAGAACTTGACCGCCCAACGTTGTTTGAAAGTATCTGCCATCACGCGCCGTGACGTGGTCACAAAACACAGGTGAACTAAATCAGCGATACTGACACCTCCAATGTTCGAGCAGACTGACCTTGGGCGCGCTGTGAAGCTAAAGGCCTCCCCCCCCTTAACCCAACCGGTTCCAGCGCGCTCTGACCAGTAGGAGCGATGGAAAGAAATATATTTCATGACTTTTGGGACACACCTTGTACACTCTCCTGTCAGTTCAATTGAAAATTGTTATTAAAATCTAAGATGTACTAACCTGTTTTGAGTTGAGGTGTGGGATTTACTAAAGTCTATCTAATAAAATAACATTATATGCATGATGCAGACACATTTCAATTCCAGGTGAAGGAGCTAAAGACACTGGAATTCCTGATGATTTCTTGCTGCAGGTGCGAGGCAATGATAGTCATAACACCAGAGCAACTCAGGTGAGCAACATAGCAATATCTTCTTTGTTATCATGAGAACTCTTTTTTAAAGTAAAAGGGTTTCAGCAGAAAACCAGTTGTGGTTAGTGCCTGAATGGGTGATCAAAAAAGAATGTCAAGACACCAATACTGTCAACATTACAGTGTAATTTGGGTCTAGTGGCCATTCGAGATCTGTACGTATGTTATTTTTTTCATGCCATTCTGACACATCACAATTCATGAGAGTCTGCTCTATTTCTGACCAATCATAATTAATGATGGTCGTCAAGAGACAATTTCCTAGTTTCAATGTACAATAATACTTGAAATATGAAAAAAAAAGAAATTTTTTTTTCTTTATTATTAGAGAAACTCTTATGGCTTTCTGACATCCTTAATAAGTCTATGTGTGAGCACCTCCTTCAGCCCTGCAGACATTCAGACAGTATTCCATTTCACTCTGGTTATGATAAAACACGTCCAGTGTGGTTGTCATACAAGTTTCCTCCCCAGGTGATATAAATCGTGAATTATCTCTGCATAGACAATGTTTTTCACGTGTCCCCGTATGAAAAAATGCAGTAGCTAAAGATATTGACTTCTAGGAGGCCAGTTTTCCAATCCATTGATTAGGGAACCTAGCATCCAGGGCATAACAAAACATATGGCTGAAATGGGATGGGGCATTATCATGTTGTAAAACAACTGCAGTTTCTCTTTCACTTTCAGTGCCTGTAATTTTTTAAAAAGCCAATAACTTTAACATGTTGATACGAGTATAGATATTTCCCTTCATGGCGTTTTCCACAGCAAAGAACTTTTCATGATAATGTTAGTGTGATGGCCCAGAATGAAACAAATCAAATACATATACAACATTACATGAGTCACATAATCAAAATCACTTACATTAATCGATTAACATAAATAATAATATAAAGTAAAAAATTTAATAAGATTTTAATTAGCAAACATAATTTTAAAACAACATACTACTCGTATAAAACTTGAATTAACACAATTTTGTTTAAATTAACTGAATTAACCGAATTAAATACATTACAGATTTACACACTTATGATCAATTATGTTGATAATATTCATTCATGGAATAAAAAGAATGGTGATATAAAAACCTCTTCAATGCAGTTTTAAAACTTTTCACATCAGTAGCCAACATTTTTATTGTTTGAGGAAGATGATAAAAACTTTAATACCTGCTATGTATGCACTTTTATTGTATTTTGTTACGTTAACTACAGATAAATATAAATTATTGAGGGTTCTAGTTTTGTATTTGTGAATCTCATTGTTAAAATTAAATAAATGTTTATTATTAATTGTATACAAAAGTAATGAATATATGTACTGAGTAGAACGCCATTATTTCCAAATTCTTAAAAATGTCCCTACAAGACTCTCTTGGTCTAGAATTCGATATAGTCCTAATAATTTTTTTTTTAAATATAAGACCTCTGTTAACACAAGAAGAGCCACCCAAAAAATATTATACCATAACTTATGATAGAATGTATATGGGCAAAATAAATTAGCTTTAACGTATCAAAAGGTACAATATATTTTATATTTCTCAATGCATAATATGCAATGGAAATTTTATTAATAACATAATCAATATGCTGTTTCCATGAAAGAGTATCATCAATAATTAATCCCAGAAATTATGTCTCAGTCACACTTGTTAAATTTGTCTGATCATAGTTAATTTGAGTAGTGATATTATAATAATTCATAGGTCGAAACTAGACATATTGATGTTATATTTTAGCGTCCTGTTGCACTGATTTAAGTCCATGATTTATTTAAACCGTCTTGCAGTGCATACACTCATCTATCTCCTTCTCTAACTCGCACTACATGTTTCAGCATAATAATGCCATCTTCAGGTGCTTACTCATCCACGTCAAACTAGTTCATTGCACGCCTTGTCCTCACATTAAAATAACTAAAATATATATCTATCATATATATTGACAAATGTCGAACGTTAAAAATATTAAAATTTTAATATTTTTAACGTTCGACATTTGTCAATATATATGATAGATATATATTTTAGTTATTTTAATGTGAGGACAAGGCATGCAATGAACTAGTTTGACGTGGATGAGTAAGCACCTGAAGATGGCATTATTATGCTGAAACATGTAGTGCGAGTTAGAGAAGGAGATAGATGAGTGTATGCACTGCAAGACGGTTTAAATAAATCATGGACATAGACATATTGAGTCTTATTAAAATTCAAGGTAAGCAAATTAGTGTTAAACCATGTATTTACATCTTCGAAAGTTTGGCCTTTAATATGAAAGTAAAAAAGTAAAGTAAAGTAAACTTATCTCTGTAGCAGGTCGTGAAAGCCTATAGGGTTGTGAGATGTTGAGAATCCCACATTATCTAGACAGTTGGCTCAGAGATGGCGGTAAGGTTGTCAGCCTTATGCACCGACCGCGCTTTACTCCCCAGGAAAATTATTTTATTAATTCCTGGTACTCATTTCTGTTAGAGGCTGGGTTGACCCCAGGGTCATAGTGCGACTGGAAGGATTAAGCCAATTGAAAAAATCCAGTGACCTCATCGGGACTTGACCCAGCGGCCTTCCGGCTTGTAGTATAGTGCCTCAACCAACTATGCTACCGCGTGCCCCCTTTAATATGAAATGTAGCTTTATTTGTGAAAAATAGTGGTTTTAGAAAATCTTAATCAATTTCATTCAGTATGAAATTGCATATTCAGCTCAACTATGAGGGCCAGTGCCTTAGATTTCATGTCTCAGTCAAATTTTGTAAGCATTTAATCTTAGCTGCTTATGCAACATTTTTTGGGATTCTGTTTTGAATATACAGAGTTGCAAATTATGACAACTCATAGAAATTTTTTGGCTTTGTGCACATGATGCCATTATGCATTCAGCACATTCTTCTGAAGTCTACTGTATTCTTGGTGATATTTTTCTTTAACACATTTCTTATGACAAACCAGTAATGAACTGATTTTGCACTTTGAGGTTCGCTTTCATATACTAATGTCAAAAATTATAATGGATAGTCAAATAGACTTAGCTTAGCAAACCTATGAGTCAGTGGAATTTATCATGAACAGATGCTATTACTCTGACTGCATTAAGCACACGAGTTTACTGTTACTGAGATAGTCAGGTATGCCTGTTCATGCACAAGTACCGAAAGCTTGGTGACTTGAACATTTCACAAAAATTAAATTTGACATTAAACGTTAAACTTGGGAGTTCTGTTTCGGTGAGCTTGTATTTCTAAATAACTTTCTGAAAGAATTTCCTCCCTAATGTGATACATCTGATAATTCTGACATAGTTATATATACAGAAGAGAAACTGAAAACTTTATGTGAATTTTATAAATTTAAGGACGTAGGTAGTTGGGATTTATATTGTTCTCCCTCGGTCATCTTCACTCCAGTGCCCTCTGTCTTGATTGCTATACTGAAGACTAGTAAATTATTTGATTCATGGGTTGACAAACTCACCCAGCTGCCAATGTTATGTAAGAATGTTGACTCACAAAATGTCAAAACATGATTTATTCTTCCTACAATCAAAATCAAACAACTTAATCAACAGAATTTCTTCCACTCTTGATGTAATCTCAGTAGCCAGTCTCAGTCCTGAGAAGGAATAATGTGTGAAGATAAGGTTCATATGAAAGCAGGAAAGGCTTTAAGATGTATCCTACCCCTTTCACCTTACCCAAACAAGGGTAATGGTCTCAAAATTTAACATTAAGGCACTTACATGGTAGACACCAGAATCCACTTGCCAATTACAATAATCACATTTCTCACTCAGACAAAAGCAATATTCCATGTTTGTTTAAAGGTTGACCTCCGAGCAGCCTCACTGAACACTAATGATGTGTTCTTGTTGAAAATTGGTGGTTCCAGCTATGTGTGGTGTGGTAAAGGCTCTACAGGTGATGAACGTGAGATGGCCAAGAAGATTGCTGCTGTTATTGCTCCAGGAGATCAAGAAGTAGTATATGAAGGTGCAAGTACTTTTATGTTTTAAGCTTCCAAGAATGATGAGTACCAGTTTCATTCAATGTGAACCAAAGAATCTTCATAACATAGAAAATTTCAGTTTCAATTTATTGAGGACCTATGTTTATATGACTTTTCTTACTGTGGATGTATTCACTTACCCAGTCAGTCAGTCACTTTCTTCCTTGTCCCTTCACTCACTTACTGTCAATTATCAGCTCACCCATTTATGTCGCCATTCTTGCCTCACTTCTCATCTGCCCGTCACTCACACATCTAATCAACCTATCAATAAACACAGTGAATAACTCTCTCTCACCAGTCTTTCCTTCCATCTTTTATTAATTCACTCATTTGAACTTCCACACCTGACCATTAACTCAATTCAGGGACATGTAAAACATTAATGTGACATGTTGAGCAATGGAGGACCCCTCCCTACACAGCAGTGACGTGGCGGGTGAGTCAGCGCTCCATCCCCCCCCCCTCCGCGCGGTGATGTAACACGCAATGCAGCTGTGACACGGGTAACAGGCAACAGCTGTACCCATTGCATAACAGGCGGGCACTGTGACTATATAAGAGCACTACACTGCCTACAGGGTTAGTTAAAAGTGTATCAGCAGCCGAAGACAGTTCTCCAGTCAGCAGTGAACAGTTAAGTGTATCAGTCGCCGAAGGCAGTTCTCAAGGCAGCAGCCTACAGTTGAGTTGGAACCTAGCCAGCGGCGAGTTACAAGTTATGGACGCATGTGTGAGAATCAGTGATAGTTCGTGATAACCGAGTAATAATTGGGAGTGTGTGATACAGTGACACTTGTATAGCTCCCGTATTGTAATTAAAACGCGTAGACTACTGACAGTATAGTGAATTGAACATTGAATAGGGGTTATAAATTGTGAAAACCCGTAACAGTGTTATAATTAATTGTAGCCGAGACTTGTAGGTCGTTAAATAAACCAATTAACAATCTCTACGGCATATTCAGTACACCCAACATGTTACATTAACATATGTCTGTATTTGGTACAGTGAGAGACTTTAAACCTGGCTATAAAATTTGTCTGAGAATATCAGAATAAAATTTGGAAGTTTTGTTTCCAAAACTAAGGGACCTAGCATTTACTATTTCAGATCTCACATGTTTACATGTTTCTTTCAGCTTCTACTTATTTAAATCTCTCCAATAAAGAAATATCAAGTCCTATTCATGTCTACAAAACAGATTTAAATTTTTTAAGGTCAAGAGAAGTCTGACTTCTGGGAAGCAATTGGAGGCCAGGAGGAATATGCAAATGACAAGCGCTTAGCAGATTCCACTGACCGCATGCCTGCCAGACTATTTCAGTGTTCCAATGCTACTGGGGTATTCAAAGGTATGTCTTGTTTTCCAAACATACTCTCACATGTATTAGTGACTAAAGAAGTGGGTTTAGATTGGTAAGCCAATTTATTGGCTATTCACTAGGTGTAACTACAAGTAATTGTAACACTTTCAAGATTACTGGAATTAAAATACATAAATAAAGTCTTCTGTATCTGCTTTACCTAGTCATTGATAGGTAACAGATCTAAACAATGGCTACTCCTCTGCAAAGGTTTTCCTATCCATTTCCTGTCAACGGATTTTGCACAGGAACTGTAACTGTCACACTCCAACACACACAAAGTCTTCAATTCACACGTCACGTCTTCACAGGTCAACTTCTGATTCTTCTTTTACTACAAACTTCCCGTGGCTATCTCCTACTAAGAACTGACTCATAGTCCAAGTCCAAGTCACATTGCGACTGACGGTCAGTCAGTCAGTAAGTCTTGGTGTCGAGCCCCATCTGGGGCTCATGACCAGATATTTATTACCTTTAACAGTTACGGTCTTGTTTTTGTGGGGCGCCCTCTCTTACGAGATGACGGGTCTGCCTTTTGTATGTGCTGCTGGCCCTTGCCAGTGTAGTCTTTCTAGGGTCTGAGTCCCTTGGCACTCGAGACCATATTTTACTGTCTCAGATTTGAGACTTCCCTTTTCGTCGCCTCTTACGACTCGCAGAGTCACGGTGGAAGTATTCAACCCCGCCTCCACATGGGGTTCTGTCCATTGACTCATAGTGCAGACTGTCTTCAAGATAACTCATCTGCATGGACCCCACAGAAAACACTGTCTTCTTTTGTTAATGATGTGTGTTTACAGCTTTGTTGCCTGGTAATAGGCATCCAATTGTTCAAGGTGTTAGCTTGGCGCGGACCTCAGGGAAAACAAAGCTCTCCTATGTTCACCAGCTGTCATATACTGTAGAAGCGGAAACATATGCTGTAGAAACAGCAGTTCTTCTATAGTTGCCTGTATTCATTGCTGTGAGAATGTTTACAGACGTTCCTCTATTGTTGCATAACCTAGCAACGGACTGTTTACCAAGAATCTGTCTTCGCAGGAACTTGTTTACCAACCCCTTACATGGCAATGCGTTGACATGTCACAATACCAAGACTGCTGTCACAAATACTGCAAAATACTATCAGCTTTCTTTCTATGATTCATATGCATGATATGAGTGAAGATCAATGTTCATCATTTAGTTACATGAATGAATTTTACTCCATCTCTTCTGACCACATAACTACAATAATTTATATTAGCAGCACCAATAAATATAGTAACAAAATTCTAAAAGCTCCACAGGTATCCCTCATTATCCACGTTTTCTCTATCATGAAATTTTATTCTTAAATAATTGAGGCCATGATGAATGAAGTGACGCTTTACTTCATATAAGTATTTTGTGCAATCCTTAATTTGAAGTTTATCATTATGATAAAATACGGGAATAGTGCAAGTGGCAGAGGAAATCTATTAGCTTGTGGAGAATTATAGTATACGTGATTAATGAGCATGAACATAACAAGTACATGTTTTAGATAGTCAATGCTGCAAGAATTATCCAATTGAACCTAAGGACTATTAGACAAAAAGCTGATAATATTCAAGTGATGTCCTAAAAGAACAAAGAGTATGTCTCCTGGTAAGATCAAATAAATTATGGCACCAGTTATGGAGAAACTGGATTGTCATAATGTTTTACAGGACACCATGGATTCCACAACCTTAAGATAAAAGACAAGGCTGCAGAAAATAAGTCAGTTGCTGCTGAGAAATTCCCAAGTCTCCTCCAAGTGACAATTGGAGAACATAAATATTTGCCACAGGAAGTATTCAATCTAGATGAAATTCGATTGTTCTGGAAGCAGATGCTGAGTAGAGTGTTCATCTCAGTGCAGGAGAACACAACCTCATGCTTCGCAGTTTCAAAGTATTGGTGCTGTTATGTGGAAACTTATCCAGAGATTATAAAATCAAATCCCTAACAGTGTATCATTCAGAAAACTCTTGAGCTCTCAAGGCTTATTCCAAAGAGGATTTACCTGCTGTATGGAGGTGTAAGAAGTAAACTGTTTGATTTGTCTCATTCTGGTCCATCACACTAACAATCACAAAATAGATAACTTACAGTCCAGTGTGACACACAGGTTCACCACATTTCGGTCTTCACTCGCCTTACATGTTTCGATTCAATAGAATCATCTTCAGAGGCGTACCAGTACGAGCAGGAAACACTGTCACATAAGATTTGACGTTATGCACTAAGGTTATAAATAGTGCTCACTGTATCACAATTTGCCCTTTGCATTCACGTTGACGTGTAGATTTATGTAAGATGTTTTGTTTAGGCGTCTTTTCTGGGTAGTCGATTGGAATTTCCCACTGCACGCAATGTGATGTTTACTTTTCTTAAAATAGCTTCCTTATGTATTTAAAATTGTGTTAAAATTCTTTTGTGTTCAAAAAGTTAGTTATTGTTAAAATCGTGGACCAACATTGGGTCATGTTGCTGTTTCTCCGGACGGTAGGAGATGTCGATATTTCTCTGCGTTGTGTGTTCTTATTGTTAGTTGTGTAGTATACGTGCATGCTGTGTTGTATTTACATCATGTCAACGTGAATGCAAAGGGCAAATTGTGATACAGTGAGCACTATTTATAACCTTAGTGCATAACGTCAAATCTTATGTGACGGTGTTTCCTGCTCGTACTGGTACGCCTCTGAAGATGATTCTATTGAATTGAAACATGTAAGGCGAGTGAAGACCGAAGTGTGGTGTACTTGTGTGTTGCACTGGACTCTAAGTTACCTATTTTGTAAGTAAACTTGTATTACAGCAAACTTGATCGAAGCCTATTTTGCCAGTCAGCTGCATTGTGAACTGAAGGCTCACTGTGAGAGAGATGAGGTGCACTTTACAGTTCTGCTTGTCCTGGGTATTGCCAGTGGGCACCCCTCACAACTTCTTGATATTAGTGAGAATATCAAAGTAATGCTCCTTCCTTCCAAAAGCACCTCTCTTTATCTATCCTAAGGATCAGGTTTTCATCTCTACATTCTTTAGAGGACATTCACCCAGCTGGTAAAGGATGTCAATTGTAAAGATGGGGTGTCTGCAAAGGATTTTTGGGAAATTTTGATATTATAAAGGCAGTTCATATCACTGAAGAGGCATGAGCTGAAGTGTCATAGTCTTGAATGAATGGAGTTTCCAGAAAGATCTGGCCAGATTTGGCTTTGAGACTGAACAGGAGAATAAAAATGCAAGGCATGCCATTGCAAACAAGAGTAGACCTGTTGGCTTTGTGGGGGTGGATGAAATCAATATGGAGGACTTGCTTCAGTTCAGCACAGAGGAACTCAGTATGAATATATTATAGACCAGGAGAAGACAATAAGTGATGAAAATGGACAATCCTCTGAAGTAGAGCCTAATAAAGCAGCTAGGTGAATTGTTTAATCACACCAACACTGCCATTTGAATCACAGATGACAGTGATGACAACAGAAACAAGTTTGTCAGAGTTGCCAGAAGGTTTAAGAATTGTAAATTGAGGTAAATTGAGGTTTGACGGCGGTGATTATGAAGAAAGCAGGTTAAACGTCGGTTAATCCCACATGTATATGGCGCCACATCCCAGAAGACTGCTTTCTTCGGTTTAAGAAATGTTTGGCTTGTTGCAAAGATTTCTACAGGTAAGGAAGAAAGCTACACATTAACCTTTAGCATCTTAAATGCACATATTGGTACAGTGATAGGTAGTTTCTTTGTGGCTGAAGTGCACATATTCGTGCACTCAGGCATTTAAACATCACTAGTGGAATCATGTGAACATGCTGCTAGTAGAAGCATATGCACAATCCTAAATATTTATTTATCATACAAATTGTATTAGATATAGCATTTTCAAATAAAATGCAAGCACCCTAATAGGAACAGACATTTAATTGCAGAGCAGCAACAGGCATTTAAACACACACCAACAGTCGGCATGTAAATAACCTCCTGCCAGCTTGAGCCACCACCATTTCAAAAGTCCAGCATTTAAAGGTTAACTTCCTTCCCATCACTTTTTCAAGCGAGTTGAGAGTTTCCGATCCACTTACTTGGAACCTGCCCAGCCTGATTTTTTACTTGTGTCTTCATCCCTGCCAGGATCCTCTAGGCCAGCTGATTAAATTTTTGCAAATTCTAAAATAAATGATATTTACATTAATGAAAAATGTCAATGGAAGTAATTATTGATAAATTTATATTTTGCAATTTTCTAATGAATAACCTCTTATACTATGTTAAAATTAACTCACTTTTTATGATTTCATTTCATGAAATGATTTTCAGGAATATGTTAATTGTGAATGACAAGCGATACCATTATACACATTACATTTGTACTGAACTACTGTCATTTTTTTAAAGCGGAGGAGATCATGAACTTCACACAAAATGACCTTGTGTCCGAAGATGTAATGATGCTGGATGCTCATGATTCCATTTTTATATGGATTGGAAAAGACTCAAACAAGGATGAAAGAGACAAGGCTGTTCAGATGGTCATGGAGTATCTCGCAACAGGTGATTACATCCACATATAGGAATCATGGTACAAAATNACACTTCACAAGAAACCATTTTTCTTCCTACTCTTACCCAAAAACACTGAACAGCAAAAACCAAAGATTAATTCATACATGTTGCCAACTTTGAACTTGACCACTCATCACCCCTCCCCAAGTTCAAATTCCTGGTAATCAGTAACCAGTTACCATCTTAATCATAGCAAAAACAGTTAAACTTTTCATAACTTAAACCCTTTGTCAAAATATCAGCAATCTGATGTGTCGTGGGAACCTATTGTACATCAATACTCTTGTTCATGTAACAATCTCTTACAAAATTATACTTCACATCATGTTTCAATCTTTTATGCTCCCATCGACTTAGTAACGCAATACATGATTGATTATCTTCATATATTACTGGTTCAATATCACAAATCTGAAAGTCGACTAATAAACCTTTCATCCACAACACCTCATTCAGCTTCTGTAGAAGATAGGGATACTGTATTCTGTTTTCTTGTCACCCAACCAAAACAATTTCCATAAACCTGAATTAAGAAACCAGAAATAAATTTCCTATCTTAATCATTTGCCCAATCTGCATCCACGTAACTTACCAAGGGTTTCTTGGTGTTTACATCATACAGCNCATCACCCCTCCCCAAGTTCAAATTCCTGGTAATCAGTAACCAGTTACCATCTTAATCATAGCAAAAACAGTTAAACTTTTCATAACTTAAACCCTTTGTCAAAATATCAGCAATCTGATGTGTCGTGGGAACCTATTGTACATCAATACTCTTGTTCATGTAACAATCTCTTACAAAATTATACTTCACATCATGTTTCAATCTTTTATGCTCCCATCGACTTAGTAACGCAATACATGATTGATTATCTTCATATATTACTGGTTCAATATCACAAATCTGAAAGTCGACTAATAAACCTTTCATCCACAACACCTCGGTAACAGCACTTGCTAATGCAACATATTCAGCTTCTGTAGAAGATAGGGCTACTGTATTCCGTTTTCTTGTCACCCAACCAACACAATTTCCATTTGCATTTCCACAATGCATTTTGAACATCTAATTGATGAGAATGCATATTCTGAAGAGTGATCACTGATAGAAGTGTTCTCAGAGTTGTCAATCACGCTACAGTTGAGTAAGTCTCCCCATAATCTATTCCTCTTTTTTGCGCACACCCCTTAATGACCAATCGTGCTTTATATCTTTCAATTTCACCCTTATCATTATGTTTTAAAGTAAACACCCATTTACTGTCTATGACTTTCTTCCCTATCGGTTTTGGTACTATCTCCCAAGTATTGTTCTCCTCTAATGACTCCAGTTCTTCATGCACTGCCTGCAACCAGTTTTCCTTGTCACTTCTGTCTGCTAATTCCTCATAGTCCACTGGTAAATTGTTAATATAAAATTCAATGTTATAAGCACAGGCTGCATAATCCTCAAGATATTTTGGTGGTTTCTTTATGCGTTCACTCCTCCTTAACTCTGGTACACCATCACCATTGTTTCTGCCATTATCAACATTACAATCCAATTCAGATGTATTTTCCTTCTCCACATCTGACACAATACTTTCCTTATTATCACTATCATCAGATTCAAAATTTACCACTTCACATCTCTTCCTACAATAATTTTATTTTCAACTGGACACCAAAGTCTATACCCATTTGGACAATATCCTACCATAAAACATTTCCTGGATCTACTATCAAATTTCCATGCTTGCAATTCCTTTGGTTTGTGTAGATAAGCCACACTTCCAAAAACTCTAACTTTACTCAAATCAGGCTTTGCACCATACCACATTTCTGCTGGTGTCAC